CAAATAGGGTGATCTATGCCTATCAGATATAGTTTTTTACTAATGAAGTTATTCAGTGTACAATGTGGGGAACTTAATTCATATGCAGTATTTGCATGTTAGCTTATGTTTGATAAAGGTTTTTGACATGTTTTTTGGCTCTGATGATTAGTGGGCGACCTCAACACAGTCGATTGCTGAGAGTCTCTATGAATGTGTAAGTAACTCTATATGAAAACTTTTTCGTGTCATGCACATGTAGTAAGAAGCTGCTGAATTTTAACTAATTTTCAGTTCCGCTTGTGTTTTTAGACTATTTTTTTTTTCTAAAATAGTTGAGAACTGACTTTAAAAAGTAGGGTCTAGCTTTCAAAACAATTTTCTTGCCTTTCTTGCCTACAAAAAGTTTAATGTCATGAAGCCATTTTAAGCGACAAATTTCGTATATCTATAATGAACAGGAGGCTTCATTAAATATACGTCGTTTGAAGGAGTCGCTTAAAAATGGTTTCATGGCATTAAATTTATCGWAGGCAATGTAGGGAATAATCATATTCTCAGATGGCGTTCATGAAAACACTTTTGAGCGACTCTTTCAAAGTTCGTATCAAATTCAATGAAGCCTCCCTTGACGTCCATCATGTTCAATTTTCAAATGTCTTTAACTCAGAAAATAAAAATTCAAAAAGCTTTTTATTCTTCAAAAATGATTATCATATTTGCCTTCTTTTAAAAATGATTTTCTAAAATGGTTCATATGCACTTTAAGTATAAAATGTGCCGAAGGGAAATTATAGATAGAAACACTCTCCTATCTTTACAGTGAGATGGTCTACAAATGCATWTTTGGAATTGTATGCATGAATTTATTGAATTCACTAGTATTATCAAGGACAGACTTGCCAAAAAACAAAACAGTGAAAATTTACAAAGGTRAGAAATTAATATGTAGAAAACTCGATACTWAAAAAATAGCTTAGAATAATTACTTATGATGTCTGCATCAAACGCCTCACTCGCCTCCACATACACCCTGGGTGCAT